TACATACATACATACATACATACATACATACATACATACATACATACATACATACATACATACATACATACAGACAGACAGACAGACAGACAGACAGACAGACAGACAGACAGACAGACAGACAGACAGACAGACAGACAGACAGACAGACAGACAGACAGACAGACAGTGGGGGAAATAAGTATTTGACCCCTTGCTGATTTAGCAGGGCAAGTCTGAAAGGGCAAGTTTCCGTCAGACTTCAGCCATTAGTTAAATAAAGCATGGCTATTTGGAAATAAAAGAAAACCACATTAAAGAAAACGTAGGCAAAGATTGGCAAGTGACAAAAAGTGTAGAAAATGTTCAAAAGTTAAAGTAGAAGAATATCATTGTATCAGAACTAGACAGAAATTCAGGCATGCCTCTAAATATTGGTTCTCTGACTCATGCTCTACAACAGTTGAAAAATATTATTTTATTAGAAATGATAAGAAGTTGTCATTGACATATATCCTCAATAAACTAGTCAAATACATGCATTCAGTCTTAGAAATTGCAAGCAGGCATGTCAAGTATGTTTATAGTTGATCTGGAAATGGTTTTACTGACAAACCTCAGAGGTAAAATGATCTCTAAAAGATACAGTAAACAAAATACAGCATAGTTAGATGATTCTCTCCTGGAACCTTGGATGCATTTGGTGGCAAAGTTAAAAATTTGTATGCAATCATTTCAGACTGTAGTATATATTGTACAATCCTGAGTGCAGAGTGAAAGGAAAAACAGACTTGTCCTGTTCTTAGGATGGGGTGATTTACATTCTGAATCGTTTGAGGACCTGAGTGATCAGATCACTGACGGTCATCTCCATGCACTGCAAACACTGGCTGTCAGTGTAAAGGTCCCTGTGGGGCTGAGAAAGGATAAACATTAAAGAGTAGAGCTTGGAGAGAGAAGGCATGCAGATTCTCCTGACATGCATGTTACCTTTGGACAAAATGGTGGTACACACCATTAAGAAAAAATACATGCAAACTAACAGGGCTGCATTTATGACGGTGAAAGCATGTCAAACAGACATGTGAAAACATATTTCAAGTTGATCCTTTATGTTTTTGTGTCAACAGGTTGCAACAAATCTACCATCTTTGCGTTTAGAATACCCTTTAAAACCAATTTGTAGGAAACCAAAACTCCCCCGGCCAGAAAGTTTTAAGACAACATAGCTTCTCTGTGCTATTTTGAAGGGAAACAAAGTCCTCGCAGTAAAAGGAGCAGCTGACATTACCCTGTCATGGCATTCTAAACACTGCTGGGTAGTTTTGCTCAACACTTCTCGATGATGACATGAAACTTGAGCTGCGTTTGGACTTTTCAAAGTCGACAACTGGGAAATGCATGCAGAGAAACTAACGTGTAAAACCTGAAAAAGATTCCCTTCTGGGTGTTAAACACACAGACGCGCTAAGCGTTGAGGTGAAATGCCGCCGGGCACCAGCAGTGCAGCTCTCCCCGTCTGGAGGACGTCAGAAAGACGCCTGGGCGTGCAGCTCTGCAGTGCCAACGCCGGCTCGGAGGTAGAGCAGTCCTTTGAGGTCTTGCACACAGACAACGTTTGGCTCTGGCTAGCGGCGAGCTGCCCTCCCGTTAGCTCTTCGAGAGGCGCAGCTTGCGGCCAAAGTACTCTGGAGCGGCGTCCAGGAGCCAGTCGGCGTCCACCAGACACAGGTCCCGCATGTAGCAGCGGGAGGTGTGCAGCAGCTCGTTGAAGACCACGTAGGCCGGCTTGCCCTGGAACAGCACCGAGGAGGGGTGGATGGCCACGGGCTGGTGGGTGTCCAGGGCCAGGTAGCTGCCGTCGGGCTGCAGCTCCGCCGCGTTGACGAACATCCCGTGGGCGAGGCAGCGGCGAACGCTTCCCGTGTCGGCGCCGCACGACTCCAGCTTCAGGTTCAGCTGAGGAAACAGCAGGATGAAGTCAGGGCAGCATTTAACCCGCCAGGGCGGGCGCTTTCAGCCAGCCACAAGTAGAAAGAAGTTACAGCTAAAACGTTTAGTTAATAATCAACATAAAGAAAGAAAAAAGTCCTGACAAGTTAATGGAGTACAAAAAAGTACATTTACATGATCTGCAGTAAAATAACATGTTTGGATTAAAATTAAAATAATACAATACACAATGTTACAGAGTACTTATTGTATATTACAATACAAACACCTAGTCTAATTATAGTCTGATTTCTCCAGAGCCCCCTATTGATTCCCTCCAGAATCCAAACCCCACCACAGCATTAAGATGCATCTGCCAAGCCACTTTTTGAAAAAGGAATATCGCTTCCTGAGAGGTGAGCAAGGAGCTCGTGGGCCGGCATCTTTGTGCTGTTTTAAATTCAAACAGCCTTTGCTTTGACTGAGGAAGAGCTCTAAACTCTGGACCTGGCAGATGCCCCTAAGTGTTACGATCAGCTGTGGAGAGCAGCAGGTCTCTCTTTACCTTGAGGCAGATGTCTCGGAGCTGGGCCTGGACGTCTTTCACCAGTCCCATGTTCCTGCTGTTGACAAAGTTTTCCCGGCACCACTCCTGGAGGAGAGGAGGACAGGTGGCGCGGCGCGTCATGGTACAGCCAGCGAACACTTCCCCGTCTCTCTGGCTGCCCCCCCCCAGACCTACCTTATTCCCGCTGACTTTCTTGAAGGCCCTGTAGATGTTGAGCAGCGTCATGTGGTCTCCTTCGCTGGAGGTGAACTTCCTGCGGGCTGCCAGCACCTCCTCCCGCCGGGCGGGGGGGTTGTACAGCACAGTGTCCACCGACAGCAGCGACACGATGCTCAGCACCTCGTCCGAACAGGAGAAGTCCGGGGACAGCAGGATGGTCTGTGGGCAAACGGGGGGACGCAGATGATCACTCCATGTTCGTCTTTTCGGGGATAGCCTCCACACAGAGCCCAGCCCAACAGTACCTTGGCGTATCTGGGCTCCAGAGGGAAGCTGGCCATCTTCTTCCCCAGGGCGGTGAGGACAACCTGCCCGTTTTTTCTCTCCAGGGCTCCCAGCAGCTCCAGATGCTCCACGGCCGACCGGACGGCCTCTGGGATCAACAAGAAGCTTTTAGAGCGCCGCGTTAGCGGGACGAGCCAGAGAGGCCCGGGGGGCCGTCTTACCTGGGGATGGCTTGGACATAAAATCAAAATTCATCACGTCTGGAATCCCCAGCGCCATGAGCTGCAGCATCACCCCGGCCAGGTTACACCTGCGACACACACGCACACACACACGGACGAGCTCAGCCGCTGCCACCTACGAGCCGCTGACCGGCGCCCGCTGACCCGGGCTTTTCTGCATACCTCTGGATCTCCGGCACGGTCATGGGGATGAAGTTGTCGAACTCCTGCTCGGTGTAGAGGCGGTAGCAGGAGCCCGAGTCCTCCCGGCCAGCCCGGCCCGCGCGCTGCCACGCCTGCGCCTTGGAGACCCGCTGGACCGCCAGCACCTCCAGACCGCTGTCTGAGGAGCACAGCACACCGGCACCCTGAAGCCCCAGCTCCACTTATTCTACCATCAGCAAATGCAGAAGGGCTGGAAAGCAGCACTCAAACACAATAAGTCACTCCCAATAGAACTGAATTATAGGAGTTAAGTGCTCACTTAAACGGGCCTAAAAGCTGCGTTCTTTCCAACAGGCAGATCCCTTCCAGAAATAAGATGAAGAGACAAATAGAAAGAGAGGACAAGGTCTAAAGGATCTGACCTGGATTGAAGCGCTTGGCCTTCACCATCCCGGTGTCGATGACGTATTTGATGCCAGAGATTGTCACCGATGTCTCTGCGATGTTGGTGGAGAGGATGACCTTCCTACAGCCCTGGACACAAACGCCACGAGGTGCTTAACAGCAAGCCCCTTAAGAACAGCTGACCTCTCTGTGATTGTGTCTGCGCTGCTGTCTCAGGCGGCTCTCGGCTGCTTTTACCTTGGGAGCCGGCTGGAAGACCCTGAGCTGCTGCGCCGGGGGGAGGGACGCGTACAGGGGGATGACCACCATGGGGCTGCAGCCGTCCGGCAGGTGCTTGGCGATGTCTCTGCAGGTTCTGGCCAGAGCCTCGATCTCCTCCTGGCCCGTCATGAACACTAGGACGTCATGGGACGCCGGCGCCTCCTGTACGCGAGCAACAACGACAGCATGTCGAAAAGAGTCCACCGAAAGCGCTCAGCCGCGTGTCGGTGTGTTCACTACAGGCAAGTAAAGGAGGTCAAGTGTGTGTTTGGCTTGGATCGAATCTAATCAAATCAGCCAGTCAAAGTGAGAAATCTGTTTTGCCAGGAGTCTGATCTCATCATGTACAAAGTGAAGAAAGCGACTGTGTGCCCACCTGATGGATCTGGAAGACCGAAACCAGAGCCGCCTGCAGATAGTCGGACTGCGATTGCTTGGTGTAGTAGATCTGGATGGGGTGCTGCCGGCCCTCCAGGTACAGCACCGGAGACTTGTTGAAGTACTCGGAGAACAGGTCCACATCCATGGTGGCGGACATCACTATCACCTGTGAGCAGGAGAGGGGGTGGTGAGAAGCCTGCTCCCCACAGCCACGCTGACCGCCCACTGACCAACCAACCGCAGCCCACCTTCAGGGGGATCTTGTTGAGCTCCCTGCGCCTGCGCTGGGCGGCCTTCACCACGCCGAACAGCACGTCGGTGTGCACGGTGCGCTCGTGGGCCTCGTCCAGGACCACCACGGTGTAGCGCAGCAGCAGGGGGTCTCCGATGGCCTCACGCAGGAGCATCCCGTCCGTCATGAACCTCAGCTTGGTCTCCGAACAGGTCAGGTCCTCAAAACGCACCGTGTAGCCCACCTGAAAAGCAGCCACCGGCCGCTCTGGGTGAGTAACATTTAAAAACAATACACATGGCGGGCATAAAGGCAAAAGGTTGAGGTGAATACCAGCTTTCCCAGCTGAGTCCTCTTCTCCTCGGACACCCGTCCCGCCAGGGAGATGGCGGCCACTCGACGAGGCTGAGTGATGGCAATCATGCCCTGCCGCCCGATGCCAGCTTCGTACAGATACTGGGGGATCTGAGTGGTCTTCCCAGAGCCAGTCTCACCTAGCAAACAACAAGGAAGGGATCATTAGAAACTGACAGTACAAATCTATTGAATAGCATACACTCTGTCTGACTGCCAAAGCTCCCAGAGGGAAAGGAATTCTAAAAAAATCCATCATAAACAAAGTCTGGCCAGAAGTTACTGACTAATCTCCTGTTAAAAGTGGGCTCCACCTGTAAAAGAGGGGCTATCTCTGCAGCAGTGAGGTTCTGAGGCTTTACCTATCACTATGGCATTGCTCAGCTGTCTCAGCTGGGTCACCAGCTGAGGTTTCGCCTGGTAGATGGGAAGCTGTTTCCTCTGGACTTCGATCGGAGTGGTCACATTTCCCTTTCGAGGCAGCAGCATTCCAGGCTTATTCCTCTCGAGGCGGAAAAACACGGACCCCGGCTTGAATCTCTTGGCCGGAGGAGGGTCGGGGTCGTGGGGCATGGTCCGCCGGGGGTCACGCTGGCGCCAGAACCCGATCGCCGCTCCCGCTCCGATTCTTCTGCGTCAACAAGAACAATTCTTAAAAAGTTTTTGTTTGTGCTCGCTCACCGAAGAGCGCGCGTCAATGCGGATGTTTTGCTACCTCTGCAAAAACGTCACCACGTGGATGGATTCGGCGCATGCGTTTGACGTCACAGGCAGCTCTGACAACAAAACGTGAGTTTATGATCCAGTTTGACGGATCATTTCATGGCTGAGGGGAGATGTGGACCTTCCTCACAGATTAAACGTTAAGAACGTAATCAGGGACGTTTTTTGTCAATATCATTCACTTTATTATCTTTATAAAGTGAAGATTAGAATGTCCATACTCAATTTATGTCTCACAAACCACTGTTTCACCACCCAAGTGATACATTATGTGAACTGGGTTGCTGGTATAAATGTGCATCCATCTTTTATTTGATCTTATTGGTCAATTTGAAGGGTTTAATGGAGGAATGTGACAATTGGATCTTACCTATATATAATTTATTATACATATATATATCGCATACTCTATGCCTGATCTCTCTTTGATTATGCTTTTGTTTTCTAACCAAACGATCAGCACAATTATCAAGAATAACTCAATGGCATATGAAAAAATTAAAAAGATTAAAAAAGGTACTGAAAAGTGGTGACTCAGCACAGCATCAGTGTGCTGACAGTCGGAGATATCTTTATGCTTTGTTGGTGTGTTTCGGTATGAGGGCTCTGTTACTCATGCCAATGCAGAATATGTGATTACCTACATTTCTGGTTTAAGCCTGTGGTCATGGTGTTTAACTTACCTTACCACCTTACCGGAGAATACTGTTTATTAGGTGTTTTTTTTTGCGAGTCTGATAACCCATGTCCAGCCACAGTCAGTTCGAATGGACCCTCTTCAGTTTTAGGAATCTCACAGAAAATAGGCAATAAGAGGGTGAGACTCCAGTGTCTAAGAACTATGGGAGTATTTGGGGAGACACAGAAGTCTCACATGGTGGTCTACAGGATTTAAAACTATGAGATGGCAGAGATCCCTGGAAGAAGTAAAGGCTTTTGAGGGAAGAGGTGAAATGATGATGAGAAATGTGCATGATCACTGCGATGGACCTGTAACCCGCCTCTAGCACATTGTCAGTTGGGATAGGCTCCAGCCACCCCCTCACCCCCGTTGAGAATAAGCAGTATAGATTATGAATGAATTTGGCAGGATCAGTTCTGAAGAGGCTTTTTCCAGATTAGGTCAAACCTCTCGCCACCATCCCTTCCATCTCCTTATGAGCAATTATTTGTGACCCCAAAAATGGCAAAATGTACGTGGTGGTATATAAATACTGTATTAAAATGTGTTTACAAAAATATAAATTTGTGACTGAAATATGTGTAAGGAATTCAATTGAATTATTTTGAGCTGGTGCCATGAAACAGGAATTTTTTGGACCAAAGATCACATTCGGTCAGTCGGCGTGGAGACCAACACATTTTTTAAAGTCATTATCTGCCAAGATCAGGGTTAAGAAACAGTAGCTCAGCTGGTAGCTAAAGACAAATGATAACACTGATAACACTGGGTAATTCCACAGGAAGCTACGTAGTGGGAAATTGAACAGTTTAGCATCATTTACCTTAGCTCAGCAGAACATCTGACCAAACTTAGCTTTTAGGAAAGTTTCAACTTTCCTCTTTAGTAAAGTGCTATGATATATTATTTTAGGACTCTGCTGTCCACCTGGAAAGTGCATCAGCTGTTCTAGTGAATGAAAGAGAAAAGAAAACCTCCTGGAAGGGTGTGGGGTACAGTTCACCTCATGGGGTGACTTTAGAAGACATTGATTCATAAGATGCCCAGATTGCAGAAGTTAAATTCATAAAAATGAAACCGCAACATGTTAAGTGCAGAGGAACAAGTTCTTAAGAAATATAATTACGTAACTAATTATTGTTAAGTGTTCTGTTTCATGTTGATGCTTGTTTTGGCTTCCAGTTAAACTGCTTCTAGGATGACCAAAATTAGCATGTTCGTGGATCCTTATTATTCAAATGAGGTCACAGGTATAGAGCTATTTTAATGTCAAAACTCTTCACTGACCTGAGTGTGTTTCTTACTCTCTGGTCTAAGATGGATACGTTGTACCTATGCCACTCACCACATCCTGCTGAGACCGCAGCTTACTCCTCCGTGTCACTTCACATCCTGCTGCTGTCTAATGTCTGTCCTCAAATAATAGAACAAGAAGACAGACTTAATGGAATGCAGGTACTTATTCACTAATTCATGTATGTATTTATTTAATGACAGCCTTAAGAATAATCAAAGAACCCTCAGCCTCTATCTATTGCTTTTATTCAAGCATATTGATTATTATTTAAAAAGCCAGTGAGTGCTTCTTGCACTGTAAAATCCTCAGTCTTGTCAAAACTTTGCAAACCCACCAGATTCTTCATAACACCTTTTTTTTAAATTATTTTTGATTTATCCCAAAAGATGACCACAAATGAAAGAAACAGTTTTCTCCTGAAACAGTTGTCTCCTGCATGATTCCAGTTTAAATCTAGTTTATTCTCTTTTAATATAATTACAAAATTGCCACTTCACTTCCCCAGCGAGTGAAGATTAGAAATGCAAAGCTCCTCGCAGCATATGAGCGTGAGAATGAAAGAGAAGCAGCTTTCATGCCCCCACAGAAAAAATGATAATACAACATAAGCAGGCTTAACGTCTGACACATGGTGACAGCGTGAGGGCAGGCCCACCAGGCTGAATGTGCACTGTGCATTTGTGTCTCTGTGTATCTCTGCCCCTCATGCAGGAAGAGTGTGTCAGTGGAAACGATAAGGTTTGATTGCACTAAGTGAGGAGGAGGTCCGGTGTTGGCTGTGGCTGCGCGGCAACTGTTGAATTATGTAAACTTAAGAAAGAAAAAAAAAAAAAGAAAGAAACTTGAAGCCAAATTCCAGCAGATGCCTTTTCACTAATTTATTGTTTTTAGAAAGAAACGGTGGACATCCAAACGGATGCAGCGAACAGGAAGATGCAGAGGAGAGACTGGCTGAGGAGAGAGTGACCCTGTGCACAGAGAGAGGAAGAGAAGGAGGGAGAGAGGGAGAGAGGGAGAGAGGGAGGGAACAGCGTGGGAGGGAGGAAGTCTTCCACTTCAGGACTTCTTATAAAGCGTGTCAGACGTTACTTTTGAGAGGAAGCACCGTTCAGACAGCAAAAGCATCCGGAAGAAGAAGTGGGTTCTTTGGGTCTATTTTTTTTTAGATGTGAGTCAGGTTCAGAAAAGACCCTCTTCACTGTGGGTCAGCCTGTGGGAGAAGATGAAGAGCCAAATCACCAATGCCCTCTCTGACTTCTTCTTTGAGTATGAGACCCCACGCCAGGTGCTGGTGAGGAACAGGAGGGTGGGAGTGGTGTGCCGGCTGATCCAGCTCGGGGTTCTGGCTTACATCATTGGGTAAGACTCTCACATATACCCTTTTTTTCCTGTGAAGTTCAGAGAACAAACCACCGGAGTGGAGTGCACTTGCGTAGAGTTGTTTTTTTGTGTGTTTTTTACTAGTAAACTGTCAGGGAATATTTTCTTTAAACTGAGTAAAAACAAAAAAAAAATCCCAAAAGCTCCAAAAAAGAAAAAACAAAGAAAGATTTGTTCTTTTGACATTGCGTGGTGAGAAGGTGGGGAAGAGATGCATACTTAACATGTCAGGTCCTGTTGACACAGCAAACAGAAGCCGCAGACTAACTTAGAACGGTAACGCACAGCATCAGAAAAATATCCTGTGATAACAGGATTATCTGCACGTTGCAAGTTGAAACGAAAGCCACGCATACCTGTTAACAAACG